TGGCATCAGAGACTTGGAACTGACTGATCTTAATACTAAAACAATAATTCAATTAACAGATTACAAATCAATTATAAGGTGATAGAAATCATAATCATTATTAACTTTCAAGATGGAGTATTGGGAACCTTCTGGGAAAATGTTCTATAACTTAATCTGAGTGGTAGTAATAAGAGTACTAAGAGTAATAAGAGTAAATGTTTAAAAATTCTTTGAATTTTTGTTTATGCTTAAGATTAGTGCATTTGCATACTTTATTGGGTATATTTTATGCTTCTATAAAAGTGTTTTTAAAGATTATTTCTTGGTGTGTCGGATATTTAAAAATGAATGATTTTCTTTTATCTAAACCCCTTTTCTTTTTAAAAATATTTTAGCAAAATTAAACTATTTCCAGAAGCTGCAAACGGTCAATGCAACCAACTTCCAGGCCCTGGCTACAGAGTTTGGAGGTGAATCATTCACTTCAACATTCCAAACCCAGTCACCACCACCTTTTTACAGGGTGAGCCTAGGGGAGGGGGAGGAGTTGTTTGGTTTGGTGTTTCCCCTCATGCTGACAGTTGACCAGGTATCTTTAAGGTACTCACCTGCAAGTAAGTAAGCCATTGTCAGCTTTTTTGGAGTATTTGCAGTATTGTCCACGTTAATAAGCTATTGAGTTAACTTTTGTTTCTACTTTTTCTTTCCTGGTAGAGTTCAGTCCATTCTCACTAGAAATAATTTTCTGCTCTGCTTTGTTTAGGCTGGGGACCCCATTCTGACTTACTTCCCCCAGTGGTCTGTAATGGGTTTGCTAAGGCAGCCTGCAGGAGTCGGAGCTGGGGACTCTGTGCTGAGAGCAATCCTGCAGGTGAGTCCAGAGCACAAGTGCCAGCCTTTTTGTTGAGTTTGAAATAGGCTTTCTCATTTACCACTCCCTTAATTCTAAGGTTTCTTGGAGAGTAAAAGTACAACCTGTGCTCGTTTCTTCAAGAATCTGGCAGATAGCTGTACCTTGGATCCTGCCCTCGATGCTGCCTCTTACTATAACTTCACAGTCTTGAAGGTGGGTGTCCCTTCTCTCCCCACAGTCACTACTGTGTGCTTAAATTCATCATGCTTGCCACTCTTGGACTGTGGGAAGAGCACTGAACTGGAAGTCACAATGCCCAAGAGCTTCATGAAAGGTAGAGGGCCTAGAACTCTGTCATCTGAAGAAAGATGAAAGAATTAGGGGTAGATAGCCAGGATAAGAGATTCTCACCCTCCTGCCTAATGGAACTGGCTAGGGAAGGTAGGAGGAGGTGACATCTTACTATTTCACCAAAACTTCACTTTTGTGGTTTGTTAGAGCTCTGCTCTGAGTGGTTGAGCATCGCAGTCCATCCAGCCTCCCTTCAGCCCTCCTCCTGGCATTTTAGTCTAAGGAAGAGTCAGGTAGAAATGAGGAAGTGAGCCATTCAAATATATTGATTCCCGACCCCCACCCCCTCACCACCAATAGGTGAACCCACAGGCTCCTGGAGATTTTCTGTAAGATATATGCACATTCATGACCCTGCTGTTCTCTTACGCTAGGTTCCAAGAGGTGTGAGTGATCCACAGAATACAAAGGTATGATTGTTTATTGAAGGTTTATCAGGAAAAAGGAAAGAGAATATTTGGTCCCTTTGCATCTGAGGCAATTTCACTCTAGATTGTAATGGTGAAAAAGAATGTGTGTGTGATGTATCAAACTGTTCAAGTAAAATCTAAAACCGTGTTTTCCCATGTGTGTTCTATATAATTAATAAGCACCCTATGAAGTAAGAATTGATAAGGTATTAGGTAAGTTTGAGAAACATTGTGTTAAATGAAGCTAAACGCTGTATTTGAGGTGGCCTTCTTAGAGTCTTTAACATTTATTGCTAGAGGGCCTTATTAATCTCCAAGAGAGGAAGTGTCAGATACAGTATTTCTAAAACTTATTTGACCATGGAACCTTTATTTTATATCTAATAGAAGTAATATTCCAAAAAATACGTTCTGAGAAGTGCTGAATTAGAATGACTTTTGAACTTAAGTTGTATGTAGACTGGCAATAGACAGAGAGAGGACGGTGATGGTCAAGAAGGAAAAGTATTCATTTCAGCATGCTATGCAGGTAGAAGAGAAAGTGCTGCTTTCAATTTTGATTGATTTCCTTCTTTCCCTTCTAGTTTCAGGTGCCTGTAACACTTGTCTCACAGGCTGGCTCTCCTCTCTTGGCTGGAAACACCTGTCAGAATGTTGTTTCCCAGGTAGGGACACTGACCTCAGATTCTGGACTAATGTATGTTGATTGGCATTACCAGAGATGCTCCATCTTCCATTAAGTACCAGACCAGCCCCACATGAATTTTTGTGCATTACCCGAAACTTAACGCATCAAAAACTGAGCCCACCACCTTCCTCCCTACTGTGTTTCAGTCATTTCCATTGCTATTGCCCTCCAGCATTTCACATCTAGAACATTAAGATTATTTCTGACTCCTCTTGGTTTGCCCACGTACAGTCTGTTACGGTTTTTACTGATCGCAGTTTCTTTAGTTGACAAAGTCAGTATCATCTGAAAATATGAAATAGACTAGTCAACTTCTTTTCCTCTACTCTCTCTCTTCTAATCAACCTACAAAAGTAAGAATTATCGTAATAACATCATTTTAAAACTATGCTCAGAAATCTAAGGTTACCGTCACTTGTTTATGACATCCATCTCCAGCAACTATCTTTATTCAGCCTCAGACACTGTGACAGCCCAGTAAACCGGGTTTCCATTCCATGCTCACCTCTACCTCTGCTTCTGCTCACCTCTGTACACAATCAAAACTTATTTTTCTTCCCTTTCAACTCTTACCATAAACTCACCTGTCCCATGAACTCTTTCAAGAGCTCTCTCTAATCTTTTTTCATGTGGAGATATAATATGAAGTCAACTTTATCTTTTCATGGTATTTTTGTTTGGTATTTTTAAGATTACTTTTCAGTCTCCCTCATCCAGTTATTTTTTTAAATTGAGATATTATTGATGTATAGCATTGTATTAGTATTAGGTGTACAACATACTGATTTAATGTATGTATGTACTGTGAAATGAATGAGTTTAGTTAACATTCATCACCACATATAATCACAATTTTTTTCTTACCATAAAACTTTTATGATCTGTTCTCTTAGCAACTTGCAAATATATAATGCAATATTGTTAACTACAGTCACTGTGCTGTACCCTCATTCAGTTATAGTAAAATCCTTCAAGACAGGAAGATCTTCTGCCCTAAACATAGTTGGCCCACTAAATAATTTTAATAATTGATTCTACGTTTGTATTTCAGGTCATCTACGAGATAGAGACCAATGGGACTTTTGGAATCCAGAAAGTCTCCGTCAGTTTTGGACAAACAAACCTGACTGTCAAGCCAGGCACTTCCTTACAGCAACACTTCATCATTCGCTACAGGGTTAGGTCCCTTCTATAGGGAATGGAGAGGGAAAGATATATCTTTCTTTGCTTCTCTAACACATGCGAGAGGGAATAAGAACATGAAGGCCTAGTTCAATCGTCAAATGAAGCTTTGACATTTAATAGTCCATGATTTAATTACAGGTGATAAGGATTCAACAATGTTTATTCATTAACATGTTCTCTGAGTCTCTGGCCCCCAACAAAGCAGGACTACAATCACAAATCCAAATTCTTTTTTTTAAATGGTCATTTTAAATCATAAACTCAGCTAACATCCTGCAGAAATTCTTTATCTAGCTTTTTCACCTTTCTGGGCATTCAGTGTTTTATTCATTTCCAACTTAATCCACGTTTCCAGTCTCAATTGCTACCTTTGACTTCTACTTATTTCTTTCTGAACCCAGCAGAGTCCAGATTCTTCTCAACTCTACCCTTAAGTGATTAACCAAATCCCATGTCTCTCAGAGTTCATCTCTGGAACATCTATAGTTAATTAAAATATTATTTCTAAATTACATTTAAATTCCTCTGGTTCAGCCAGCCTGAACATAGCCATAAATTAATAGTAATTTTTGAGAAACAGGACTGAGAGATTATTGATAGATCTTTAGTTATAATCCTTAGTAGAAGTAGCATATAGTGAATTTCAATGTTCAGATCCTCAGGATTTATTTTAGTGAATAAAAAAAAGTAAAAGACACTGGAGTAGAAATTTCTGCAAAATGCTGTGTAAGGAAGCCAAGTTGTTCATTGCAGCTAGCCTACAGCACTGCCTTAAGGGAGGGTATGAAGCCACACAGTGGAATGTGGGAGAGCGTGCCTTTCTCCATAATTGACTTTTCTTTACTCTCTCTGCAGGCTTCTCAACAGAGTGCAGCTGCTTCTCTTACTGGTCCTAGAAGTGGGAATCCTGGCTATATTGTTGGGAAGCCACTCTTGGCCCTAACTGGTGATAAAAGACACTCGGTATCTTTTTGAATCTGTGTGGCCTCTTGCGGCCTAATGAGAAAAACTTTAGCTACTGACCTTGGATTTTCCAATTCTGAGGTTCCCCCGTTTTTTAGTTATTTAGGACTTCCTTTACCAAACCATTAAGGTATTATGTTCTCAAATATTGATGCTACCAAAGACTTTAGAACTTGTGTTAGACTAGCTAAGGATGAGGATCCTCACTGACTTACTTGTTTTAATGAAGTATTTATATGCTGGTGCGTGGTCATCCATTTTTGGAAAAACCATAATTGTCTCTATTTTTTAATTGCTAGAGGAAAAAATTGTGACTTGAATAATATGATATTAATAAAGTATACTATTAAGGAAACAATAAGACCATAAAATTGCCAATCTGCCTACTTTTTTTCTGTTACAATCTTCTTGACCATTGCTTTCTCAGATGACCCTCTTACAGAGTCAGGGTGATGGAACTTGCTCTGTTAAGAGACACGAAGTACAGTTTGGAGTGAATGCAATATCTGGATGCAAGCTCAGGTAATTCTTTGTTTCCACATCATTTCCCACAATTTTGTCTCTGTAGGGAATACATTGATGTGGCAACTTTTATATTGTGAATCAGAGTTCAGAGAATGCTACTTAGGAATAGTCTTTAAATAATATGAATATAGTTGAGAGTTTTTTGACAGTCTTTTATACCTACTAAGGATTATTTCCTCTAATTTATAATATCATTTCTAATGTTTGGATGTGTATACTAATATGGTTATATTGTTATATGAGCATTGATTGGACTCCAGCCTCCATGGTGTTTCATTTCAGGCTAAAAAGGGTGGACTGCAGCCACTTGCAGCGGAGATTTATCATACTCTTCACGGAAGGCCCAGACCAGAGCACGGTGCCATCTTTGGTAACGCTGACCCATCCCAGAAGGGAGCATGGACTAGGATCCTCAGCAGGAACTGCAGTGTTTCAGTAAGGAGAGAGACACACATTCTCACTGACACTCCCTTTCCTCTTTTGTTTATTAAAATTAAAACCAGCCCTGTTTCCTTAGATAATGTGGTTGTCATAGAAGAAAGATAGTGTGGTTGTCATAGAAGAATGTAAGAAATTGTGCCCATTTGAAGTCTTTTTTTTCCGGTTAGGTTTATACGTAAGGTACTTTCCTTATTTGGAGAAAAATTTGACCATAGGAAAACTAGAGTATGCTCTGTGGTTCAAAATCAACCTTACTCATGAGAGAAGAATAAACTAAATACACTTCATATGTATTTCAGATATTATCTTATATTCTTGAATATTTGGTCAGTGCAGATTCTTTGAGGTTGAAATTGTGTTCTTTCTGTTGTTATAAAAACTTACTTTTTTACATTTACATTTAGTAAAAATATATTAGCAGGTTAAAAATTCAAACCATGTAGAATAATGTTAAAGGAAAAGAACCTCAACACCCGCTGCCCTTGAAGAAACCTCATTTAGCTGTTTCTGTTTTTACTTTTTCTAGTAGCCTGCTACGTCAGCACTCAGGAGGTGTATCTCTTAATTCCAGTCTAAGTAAAATAAGGAAGTCTGTATGTGTCTAAGTAAAATAAAGTCTGTCTTCTTCCTCTTTTGCCTATTGCCTACCTCCTGGCTTTAATCAGTTGTACCTTTAATTTTATTTCTTTTTATTTAAATTTAAATTGTTTATTTTTCTTAATACATACTTTGCTCAGAATTCAAAAAGTACAAAATGAAACTCTCCCAGACACCTCTTCCCTTCTACAGAGGCAAACGAAGTTACTAGTTTTTCCTTCCAGAGATATTGATGCTAACCCAAGTGAATACTCATATTCTTTTTTTTTTAATTTAAATGCTACAATGTCATAAACAGTGCTCTGCACTTTGCTTTGTTGACTTGATCTTCAGAGTTTGTTCCCTATCAGTACATAATAAGCTTCCTCATTGTTTGCATAGTATAGTTGCATAGCATTCCATTATATGGATAAGCCTAATTTATTTAGCCAGTTTTATTGGTAAACATTCAAGTTATTTTCAGTCTTTTGCTATTATACACAGTGTGACGTTTTATAACCTGGTTCAAGCACCATTTCATACATGTGAAAATAAACCTGTGTGATAAATCCTAGAAGTAGAACTGCTAGATCAAAAGGTGCATGCATTTAAATTTTTAATAAATATTGCCAAATTATTCACCATACAGGTTGTACCAATTTACAGTCCCACCATCCACCTATGAGACGGCTTGTTACCCCATACCCTCATCAGCACTGGGTTATCAAACTTTTAATCTTTGCTCATCTGATAAGTGAAAAATAGCATCCCACTATAGTTTTATTTTTCTCTTACTGTGAGTAAGGTTGAATATCTTGACATATACGTGAACAATTTGTTTTCTTCACTATGATCTATTTGTATCTCTTGCCCATTTTTATTGAATTACTGGTCTTATGACTTGTAGGAAATCTTTGTGTATTTGAAAAATTGGGTCTTTTCTGTAGTATGATTTGTAGATTTTTTTTTCCAGTTTGTCATTTGTCTTTTAACTTTGTTTATGGTTTTTATGCCATGCAGAAGTTGATTTTCATGTTGTGAAGTTTATCAATTTTTTTTTCAATTTTTGAGTTTTAGTTCAGACTTTGAAAGACCTTTCTCCTTAGAGATTATTTTCAAAGTGCCCCTTTCCCTTTCTCAGCACTATATGACTTTATCCCTTGTATACTTGTATAACTTGTAGTCCTTCCTTTTAATGAGCTTGCAGGGATAAGTGGATACGTGTACTTGATCCAGCCTTTGGACAACTGAAGTCAAATTGAAATCTCTTAAAACTCATACAGCCACATTGAGGGAGTGTGGTTTTGGGTGATACATGGCTGAGTACAGAAAGGGGATGGTTAATGACAAGGATTGAGGTTATAGTGGAACTACTCTGTATTATTCTTAAACCTACTATTTACATTTTTAAATCACATTTTCAAAGAACATTTGATAACATAGAAAAATGTTCCTAATGTAGATTAAGTGAAAGAAAAAGTATTTTTAAATATTTAGGACAAAAACATGAAAGATATTCAACATCATTAGCTATTAGGGAAATGCAAAACCACAAGGAGATGCCACCTCATAACCACTGGGTCGGCTATAATTTAAAGATGAACAGTAACAAATGTTGGCAAGCACGTGGAGAAACTGGAACCATTGGACATTGTTGATGGGACTGCAAAATGGTAGAGCCAGTTTGGAAAACAGTTTGACATTTCCATAATAAATTGAACATAAATTTGTCTGTCTTCCCCAATTCCTAGTTTAGCCATGTTATTGCCTATGTCTGAGCCTTACTATAAAAAAAAAAAAAGAAGTTAAAAAAGCACAGGCATATGTGAGGATAGTTTGTATGGGCTAAGTTATAGTAACCTCCTAATTTATGTCTTCACTTTCATCAATCCTTCCTGCATCTTGGAATTACTTCTTCTAGAGTCATAATCTAACCCTCAAATCTCCTTCTTTAGTCTTTCACTGTTCTTGTGTTGAAATAATTTGCTTCAGTCAAGTGGTCTGCTCAAGGCCAGTGCCTGACACATGCCTGGTACATAGGAGACACTCAGTAACTATCCTAATTAATCAGTGACTGCCCCTCAGTGGCATCTTGTGCTGCTGTAGTTGCATACCGTTTTATATGCCATATCTCTACCTAAACTTTCCTCTAAGCCACATTGCCTTCTCTGTTATTGTGTAATGTTTAAGATACAGTGGCTACTTAATGCATGGTAAATGACCATAGGCAATCATCAGCACTTGAAGCAGATCTTCTTTACCCTTCTGCAGGCTATGCATTGTACTTCCTGCTGTGTCATACCAGTTTCCCTGGAGATCCAGATATTGTGGGCCTATATAGGCCTCCAGTCCAACCCACAAGCTCATGTGTCAGGAGCCCGATTCCTGTACCAATGCCAGCCCATACAGGTAAGTCATGACTCATGAAGGACCACCAAGCCCTGCAAAGCCTGGATTGTCTTATCAGCCATTTGATGACCAGATAATTCTTTAACTTCTGAGAGCCAGTTTATGCTATCAGCCAATGTTTGGTGAGACTGAGCTGACACAATTAACTTTCAAGTCTATCCTCCCTGCTTGGTTACTGAAATTAGCATGTTTCCATGGTGAATACAATCTATATCCTTTTTTACCCCTGTGTTTTGTTTAGTTTTGTTTTCTTTAATTTCATGAGACTGGACTATAGTATAGGTTCGTTTCTTTTAAATTATTATACCATAATTACTATACTGGTTGATTCAACCACAGAAAAGATTTTCTATAATGGTATTCAGTATGATGGTCACATGTTTATTAGAGTCTCTGAACCTATTGATTGTTAAAGTTACTTCTGTGACTAGTTTGTAGTCATCAATTCTTGTTTGATTGTGCTCCAATAAAATAAATAATTTTAATATGTAGTAAACATATTCTTGATGTTTATGATGTGCCTAAGACAGCTTTAGCATCTGCCTTGGTTTTAGAGCCGAACCTTTAGCTTTAGAGATTCAAAAACAGAAATGATTAGGTCCTGGTAAACTGATTCATGTATAAACTGGTATGCCAGTTTATTAAATTTTAAAGAAAATTAAAACTAGTTGAAATTATTACCTGTAAGTCATTGCATTTACATCCCAGAGAAGAATGAAAGTAGAGACTGCATTTCAGTCAGAAGAAAAATGTCTTTAGCTCCTCCCTCACAACAGAGTTGTCAAGCCTTAGCTCTTTATGCCTATAAATATGTTAAAACTCAGGTTGCTAGAAACTGTGTTGATAAGAACATTCTATTCTCTCTGTGCTGGTTTACTGAATAAAATAGAACTCTTTCTGTAAGAGTCATTTAATCTGTTACAGATACTGCACTGAATCTATTGTTTTATTTTTATGAACTGTATCTTTATTTATGAATACCTGTGTAGTTTGGGAAAATACCTATAGAATTGTTCTTTTTATTCCCCTAAATCTCTGGCTCTTTTAGGCATGGAAGCTGCTCAGTGCCTCTTTCTTGTCTAGATATTTTTAATCATTATCTTTTTCTAGTATTTAGTAGAGGTTAGCTTTCCAAGCTAGTCTGTCCCCTCTACAAAATCACTCTTGCAGTCATTGACATCTAACTGTCCTAAGTGGTTGACAGTTGAGAATTTCAGCTGTGCTTCATTCATGCATAACTGAAGACACAGTATCTATTCCAATGATAGAGTAAAAATTAACTGTTGAGTTTATTGAGGGGTCACATGGCATATACAAAATCATGTACCTTAGAGTGATTTAAAGGATTTGCAAAGGTAATTTTGACTATACAGAAATGTTCACTTTAAGGGCTGACTTGAGAAGCTCACTTCCATGAAAGATGCTATGCCCCTGTAAAAGTAAAAGGAGTTATGAAACACTGGTGTCATATCACAAAAAAGTTAAGCAAGTGCAATTATTTCTTTCTATAATAGATAATTTTATCATCTGTGTTGAAAGATTTTTTTTTTTTACTTCTTCAATCTTGACTGGAAATTTTCTCCTGCAGTCACATAAACATACTCACTTTTTCTTTTTGCATTTATGCTGATTATTTGTCCTTAGCTTTAAACCACTTCCCTTATCCACACAGGCTTGTCTTTTAAGACCTCCTGTGAAATTTCTTTCTCATCATAGCAAGAGCCTGTTCAAAGAAAGCTAGTGTACATATTCCAAAGCTTCTAAAATAAAAAGAAGAGTTACACTTGCTCAAGAAGGTATATCTTCTGCAATTCTTCTCCCTACCCCACCAGCCACCCTTTGAAAGGTTGTAGTCGACATTGATCTGACCCACGCTATGTCAGTCAGCTTAGTATGTCTAAGTATGTTTAAATTCCTCTCACTTTAAAAAGTGAAAGAGCAAAATTTTTGAAATGTTCCCAAGAACAAACTACAAAATGGGGAAGATTTTAAGCAAAACACTATAGACTTCCCTGTCTTCTTGTATGATAATAATAATAGCAAAACATTTATTGAACATTTACTCTGTGACAGGCACTATTTTTTATAAGTGTTTTTTTTTAATAAATACTGAATTCTCACAACAAATCTATGAAATAAATAGGATTTATTTACATGGTACTCTGCTGCTTATGTTTTTGTTCTAATTGGACCTTTAAAGGGATCATTAAGTTTGGGGCTTAATAAAATATATCATTTTTTTTGTCTGAATATAAACTTCTTTTTCAACTTAAAGAAGAAAATATATCTCAAGGAAAAAACAACCAGTTTTACAGAATATTTTGGCTCTGTTAAAACCAAAATAATAAGAACAGCATAGCATGACAGGATTAAGGCTCTGAACCTTTTCTGGAATTATAATATTCAATTCATTTATATCTTTAAGTGGATCATCATTTTGGGATTATCTGGGAGACCTGTTGCCTGAAGTTGAGGGTGGTAATTAAGAGCATGGGCATTGAATCTGACTGACCTAGGTCCAAATTAAGTTCTCTTTATTTCTCTAATCTAAGTATTCTACTTACTATAAAGTGGAGATGGATAATAATATTATGGGTTGTGCAGATTATATGAGATCATAAAATAAAACATTTAACAAATTTCCTGGCACATAGTGAATATTAAATATTGCTCATCATATTGCCATTTTATTGTCATATCTTTTTTTGTTTCAAATTTCCTTAGAAATAGCATATCAATCGATTTAGAGCAAAACACAAGAGATAAGCAGGCATTAGAGCAGTGTTTCTCAACTTTTGTTGGCTATCACCCATGGTAAGAAATACATTTTACATCAAAATCCAGCTTATAATACACACATATATAAAACTGAAAGAAAATTTTTATGAAATAATATCTTTATGCAACATTCTCTGTGATATTGTCTATTCTGTCATAGTTTATTCTGTGACCTTTTTTACTGCTAGACACTAATGGGTCACAGTTTGAAATTTGAAAAACACTTTTAGAGAATCTGACTACATTTCAAAGCTGACTGTACTGTTTTATTTAATAAATGCCTTTTATTCATTGTAATTGAAAATTGGGGAGGAGGGGAGGATATAGCTCAGTGGTAGAGTGTGTGGTTAGCATGCACAGGGTCTTGGGTTCAATCCTCTGTACCTCCATCAAATAAATAAACCCGATTACCTCCCTCCTCCAAAAAAAAAAAAATGGCAGTGTTCTTTACCTCAGTCAAATACCAGATGATAGAAAGACTGCCAGTCTCTCTACCAGTCTGTCTTAGAGGTTTTTAATCTTATGGACCCCACTGAGAATCTGTTGAAAGCTATTGACTTACTGGAAAAATACACAGACACACAGCATTCTTTATATAGGTTCAGAGGATTTATTGATTTCTTGAAGGCAGGCTAAGAATCTCTGCCATAATCTCTTAATTAAACAGGGAGTATACTAGGAAAGATAAAGAACACTAAACAAAATAAGAATAATTCAACATTAGATTTTAGAAACAATAGCTACAAAAGACAGGACTCGGAAGAGGCTGAATTGGCAACAGAGAGTTCTGTTGCTCTTTTCTGTTGATGTCTTGTAGAATACCAACTGACCTCTCTTCCGAGAAGGGACAACAGTAACACCACCAGTGAACCTGGTTGCTGTGACGGTCAGTGAAGTTTCTATCACTAAAGTCTTTCTTTTTCAACCACTATTTGCCTCTTTCTTAATGAATATTTAGACTGTAGAAGTACTTTGCCCCGTTCTGTGATTCTTCATAGCCTGTATTCAACATTACCTAGTTGACTGGGTTGTTTTCTTATCTTATTACCTCTTTTTTTTTTAAGAACTTTTGAAAGATATGCTCATTATTTCATATGTCAAAATATACAGCCACTTAAGATCTTCCCCTGATACATGATGTTTAGCAACATCTACTCTTTCACACATTCACTGTCTTTGATTCATTTGAAAATCTTGATAACTTCATTGACATCTTTAAAACAAGGGAAGGAATTTTAAATTTTTCACTGAATTCTCCCTGAAATACATGTTTTTATATGGAGAAATGACGTATTTGTTATCTGGAAAATATTATATATAAATAATTCACTGATTATTTTTCAGAAATTATTATTCTTAATTTCACTGTTTAAATCATTAATTCTCCTAAAATCATAGTGTTAGTACCAGATATCAGCTAACTCCCTAAAATCATGTACTTATATGAGGAAAGATTAACTTTACATGGGCCTTTACAATATGCTTTATAGTTAAATAAGTTCTCACAATCATAATAGATACTACCATAGCTGATTGTGTTAGATTAAAAGAGACTCATGAATATAACAAACAGATGCAACTCATGTTTTTTTTTTTTTGCATTGGATTCTGATTTGGACAAACACTTGTAAAGTATATTTTGGGATAGTTGAGAAAATGAATATGGACTATATTTTAGATAGAAAGAAATATTATTAACATGAAAAAGTAGAAGTTCATTTTAAATGTAGATTGTAAAACAGGCTTTTCAGTATGATCTCATATAGTTAAAAATGCATACATTGATCAGTCTGTGTGTATAGATAAAGATACAAGTGTTACTAGTGGTATCTTAGTGATGGAAATATGGTGTTTTTATTTCTTTTAATTCATCATTATTCTTTAACTTTTTACAATATAATTAACTGCTTTTGTAGTAACTAAACTTTCTCAGAATCACTGTGTAACTGAACTCAGGCCTGGCTGCTTGCTGCTTAAAAATTAATATTGAGAGGTAATTATTGGTGGAAAGGAAAGTTGCTTTTAATCAGAATACTGGCAATCTGGGGAGATGGTGGACTCAGTGTCCCCAGAAACCAACTCCAAAGATTCTGCTCAGCCAAGAAAGTTTTTAAAGGGAAAAAGAGAAGTAATCTCAGTTAAACATTGATAGGGGGTCAGAGTCGTCACCATCTCCCACTGCATGCAGGCTTGTCATACAGACTTGTCGACTTCTTGTGATC